GGGGCAACTTACTTGTTCGCAGAACTACACTAGGTAACATTCGTTTTTACTTCTCTTCACAAACGTTAAATTAATCTAGCTGCAAGTGTTTAGTATTGAGAGCATGCTGCTGTCTAGTATTACACAGTACTACTGGCGCGGCTACACCAACGTGCCAAAAACTACCGACGTGGAAGTTCGAAGTAATTTTTTCGAATAGATCAAGAGCACACATGGCCTGCAAAATGCATCTTGCATCTTCGCGCATGATTAAAATAAGTGTCTAGTAGGGGAAAAAAGTTCCGAAATTACGAAGGCTTGAACTCCTTCCGTATATTTACTTCACATATTTCTTTGGCACGTATTTTACAGACTGACGACGTTGGAATTACCTAGCCACCAGACAAATACCTATCTGAGAGTAATGGATTTATTTGCCACTGAACCAAGGACTGAGCAGAAAGTGTTTTTTTTTTTTTTTTGAGAACGTTGAACTCCGAAATAAAACTAGGGTGCTATATCTGTCCAATGAAGGCACTTATTCACTCACATCATTGGAGTTAATATAATATGAAATAGCTAGCAATTTCTTTTCCAAGAAAAATGTGGTGGTTGGTAGTTTTTTATATAATAATAGGCGAGAAGTATTAAATGGGAATACGTAACACGAAACAGTGGCACATTTTGTAAGAAGCATCACAATAAAACTAGAAAATTCAACCAATTTGCTGATAAATGTCAACGTTCCTAGTGTCAAGAAAAAGTAATTGACCAGCGGACGGGCTGCCTGTGCAAAGATGCGTTTTTTGCATAGTTCCCCGTAGTTTTTGTTGCTACCGGCACCAACTTTTTCGGCAAATGCTTCTAGTTAAACAAATTAAGACCGGCCACCAGAACTGTCAGGAAACATCCGTTCAAAATCCGGTGTAGAGCGAGCAAAAGATGGCGCACAGAAGCAAAGAGCAATCCAGAATCGCACAGTAAATTGACCTGTGATTTGTCCCGCTCTTTGTGATGAGTATTTAAGCCTGTAAATTTGTTGTACAATTGAGTGTGTTTCTCGTGTTCATCGTCGGCGTTCAGTATGTCCCGTGTTTGGCGTTCAGCGGTGCATTGCAGCAGTGTGTTGCTGCATTCCACTTATCTGCACTCTTCGTCTGCCGCGGCTGTCGCTGCAATCATCCGACTTGATCCCGTTGCCCCAACGACTCACTTGTAAACTTGTATTGGTCTTGATAAATTTCGTTGGTTTACTCCAGTCTCTCCACTAAGTGCCATAGCACATCAGCGTTCATCCAAGTCTCGTCCGAAGCTCCTCGTAACAGCACCGTAACGTCGCCGTCGTCATAACACCATTCTTCTTGCTCTTCACGTTCCCGAGTTAGCAACTTACCCAGAACAAACTTTTACGGGCCCCTACGTAGGTACCACGGTTACCCGCGGGCAGGGTTTGAACTCATTAATACCCACTTGGACGTGGAACATCCCCCTGAGATTTCATCATTCTAGCTCCTCAGATCCCCGAGTTATGAACTTACTCGGAAAAAATTTTGGCGGGCTAGTACGCGGGTACCACGCTTACCCGGGGGCTGGGTTTGAAATTATTAATACATAATTGAAGAAGGAACATCCCCTCAAAATTTCAGCCCCCAAGCACTTTTGATTTTCGAGTTAGCAGCTTACCCGTAAAAAACTTTGGCGGGCTCTTACGTGGATACCATGCGGGTAATGGCGCCCGTCTTGGGGATTGGGGCTTGTACGTGCATGTAGATTAAGTTCCCAAAGTTTCAGTTCTGTGACTTTTGTAGTTCTTGAGATGAAAAAGTGTGACAGACGCACATATGAACACACAGACGCAGAGACACACAGATACACATACACACAGACAACTCCTCGTCAATATGCGTCTGTTGCAAAAGTAAGAAGGAGCGAATAACAGGGAAGCGAAGTTGGAGGCTAAACCCCTTTCGCCTTGTCCAGTTGCCCTTCGGTTTCCTGTAATATGCGAATGTTCCGTCTCCTGGCTCGAGATCCTCCCTCCGTGATATTTAATGTGATGACCGAAAATGAAATTGTTGTCGTAATTGTTCGTTTTCGCTGAAATTTGGAGGTGTGCGGTGGCAGCTTGGAGCTGCTGCCGGCGATTTCTGGGGTTCGTTTACTTTTTTTGATTCCTTTAATATCCCATTAATAAAGAAGTGTTGCTTGGTGTTACACTTCCCCGCAAACAGCACTCCAGCTCCTGGAGCTGGGGTGCCTGCCTATCTGCGGGGAAGCGCTCCGGCAGCTGAGCAACACCAAGTAACACTTCTTTTTTAGCTCCAAGTTGCCACCGCACACCTCCAAATTTCAGCGAAAACTAACAATTACAATAAAAATTTCATTTTCAGTCATCACGTTAAATATCACGGAGGGGGAACTCGAGCCAGGAGGCGGGACATTTGCATATTACAGGAAACCGAAGGGCAACTGGACAAGGCGAAGGGGATTTAGCCTCCAACTTCGCTTCCTTGTTACTCGATCCTTCTTCGTTTTGCAACACGTTTTCTGCATTGCATAGCTGCAAAAACGCATAAAAATTTACTTAAATCCTTTTTGCTCCTTCAAAAATTTGTAAAATCACCTCACATTATAGATTATCCTACCAAATTACAGAGGTCCAGTTACTTCTTGATAAGAACTAATCAGAAGCGAAACGGTCGTGCCTGAACTGAGTTGCAACAAAAAATTTTGAACGATGTAAAATACGCTAACCAAGGAAAGACAGGTTCAGCGTGATCGAGCATATCGATGCCGTCAATGCCAGCCTTTCCGGGCATACCCGGTCGACCGTTGGCGCCTGGCTCACCATCTAAACCTGGTGGTCCTTCAGGCCCAGGAGGACATTGCAGACTGATGCACGATTCGCATCTCTGTTGCTCACCCATCACAAGGTGCTCCGAGTAAACATCTGAAACATAAATAATTAGAAGCAGGCGCCTTTGAGAATGTGCACGTACGGTTTATGCTAGAGGAGATGCGACCACTTGGGCTAATTTCAGTTACCCTTGCCTTTCTGAGAGTACTAATTAAAGAGAAACAGGCCGATTCTAATTCTTATCGCTTTCGTTTAGCCGGATAAACACAGTGGTATGTTGTGAGCTGTCAAAACTACCCTTTATGCTTCGACACTGGTAAAGACCGATATGACGAAATATGTGGGTCAATATATAAGAAAGCTAATAGATCATGCGATTTTGGAATCACTCAAGCATCAAAGAGGCAAAAGACTGATTTGGCGTAGTACAGCTGGCTTGTGCAGTATTCATCTATCCGATAACTGCTTAATCTTATCAACTAATCCCATAAATGCATGATTTCCTAGGTCCTCTGCAATCTTATTTTCTACTAAAATTGTTAAATCAAAAGGACAAAATAAATTAAATGAATAAAAAAAATTTTTTTTAAGCACCTCGTTTCACAGGTTTTTGCTTTCTTAGCGCTAAAACTTCTTTCCAGATGTTTTGTCCAGTTTCCTAAAACAAAAGAGCGTAATTTATAAAATTTTGTCCTTATAAAAAATAGGGCTTATAAATGACATTAAAAATCCTAGTCGTTTTTAATTCAGTCATACTCAGTAGATAAGTATACGACTTTTGCCTTTTTTTTCTGGTCAAATTTGCTTTACATTTTGAAAGAAAGTTCATTAGAAGCAGATCACACTATCCACCACTAATTCAAAGCAAACAAAGGCTGGAACGCACCAGGCGAGCCGGTGCGATCATGCGTTTTTGCATCAAAACTA